AGCCAATGTTGGACCAGGCCAATGGTCCATCCAGTCCAACACTCTGTCACACAGTGACCAGAAATACCAGGGGCCACCAGAAGGTCCACCAGCGGGGCCAGGAGACTGGAAGCCCTCCCATTATTGCCCCCCAAGCACCAAGAATACAGTGCATCACTTGCCCCAGACTGAGAGCTCCTATCTATGCCTTGTGGCTAATAGCCACTGATGGACCTTTGCTCCATAAGTGGAAGCACAAGGTGTTTCCCCAGGCCAATCCATTAGAATGTAGCCCCATTTCCTTTATAAAAATGTTAGTAGTTTTGTGAAATGCCAGGAGAGGGGGATCCTTCCTGACGTCCTCAAGAAGGCCATTCCACAGGGTGGGGGGGGCACTATCAAAACACCACGTGTCAAGGCAGTTGTTGATCTTGCCCCTTTGCAGGGTGGCACTGGCAGAAGGCTTTGCTCCCATCCCACATGGCTTTGGGTTCATGCAGGTCCCACGATTTTATCCTTCACTGGTGATTAAAAAAAAAAAAGTCTTCCCTTTCTTTTCTATCACCAAGAAAGCTTCTTGGCTTCAGCCTTTGGTATGCAAGTGTAGTTTGCCACCTAGTGGTGTATAACGCTAAAAGATCTAGAAATTCTGACAATCTTAGGATCTCCTGGCTATACTACACACAATGCCATATGAGAATGAGGATGCCTGACTATAATGTCTGAAAAAAGACAAATCAGTGAGCTCTAGGTCAAATCAAGCCTGAACTGTCCCTAGAAACTAAAATGACTAAACTGAGGTTTATTGTACTTTGGTTGCATCCAGTGTTCCCTCTAAGCTGAGTCAGTGTGAGCCAGCTCACAGTTTCTTAGCCTCCGGCTCACACATTTTTGTCTTAGCTCAGGAAGGGATGGCTCAAGAGCACACTAATTTATACAGTAGCCAAATTGCTCGCTCACAACTTTAATGCCAGTAGCTCACAAAGTAGATTTTTTGCTCACCAAGACTCCACAGCTTAGAGGGAACATTGGTTGCATCCTGAGAAGACGAGACTCACTGGAAAAGACAATAACGCAAGGAAAAGCTGAACGCAGCAGGAAGAGAGGAAGACCCAACATGAGATGGATTGACTCCATCAAGGAAACCACAGGCCCTCAGATTGCAAGACTGGATCAAGGCTGTTAATGATGGGACATTTTGGAGGACATTAATTCAGAGGGTCTGCGTTGGAAGTGGCTTGACAGCGCTTAACCTGTGAATGCACACAATGTCTGAAAAGGGGGTACAGAAGCTAAAAGTTTCCAGATGTGGATATACTTGGAGCTGCCTGTGACTGGAGAGAGTTTGCGGTCCTGGTGGAGGTAGGCTGAAGTTATTTACTAGAGGGAAGTGAGGGATTCGTGATATACAAACGACGAGACCACACTCCGGCAAGTCCGTATGCTAAAATTTATTGTAGTAGATGAGGAGGAGGAAAGAAAATTACACCAACAGCCCCCACTGACACTCACTGCACGTTAGCAAATTCAGGACAAGACGTGAAACGAATCAAAGTAAAAAGGGGGAAAGAAATACGTACTTTCTCAGGCTCGACAGTTCCATGAAACGTCCACTACAAGTTTTGCTCATCAAACCAACACTTCCTCTCTTGCACACAGGATAGCCACGCTCATCCCCAAAAAGCATCCTCGAAACAAGGCCCACTCAACCATGGTTCACCTCCCCAGGATGCCAAAGTTTAAAAGGGTGCTCGCTTTATAGGAAAGTGATCCACTCTTTGTGCTTTAGAAAGAGGAGTCTGGAAGTCATCACAGTTTGTAGGCTGGGTGAGACAGACTTCTGAAATGTTCTCCCATGATGAGAAAGCAAATGTGTGAAATATATTAAGAACATTATCTTGGACCCAGCAATGAGCAAGTGGAAATGTACTGTTTGCACACGATGTTCTGCGAGACCCAGCACCCTGCTAGTGCCCAGAACCTGTCTGCATACAGCAGGTAAACAGCTAAGGGCCAACATAAAGTTTTTTCACACTTATGGTGGCCCAAGGCCCCTAACATGTGGAAATCTGCCAAGGATCCAAGCCATTGATCTGTGAACATTTAATATTATTTTGTTGGTCAGCGTTCAAAAAGACAAAAGGCCCTAAATTCTAATTCTCACATTGAATATTCCAAAACGTTTTGCCCTGTTGGGTTCCTAAGATACCGTGAGTGTAGACACGAGTAAATTCCCCCACATCTCCTTAACTAGAGAATTTCTAGCTGGATGCACAATCAACCGTGGTGTTCCGTTCTTACACATTATCCTCCACCCCAACTTTCAGCGCGACTCGTGTGCATGAATAAAACTCTGCAAAACTGTAAGTTTCGTGTAATTGTGTCTTACTTAGGGTTGCCAGCTCTGGGTTGGGAAACACCTGGAGATTTTGGGGGTGGAGACTGGGGAGGGAGGGGTTTAGGGAGGGGAGGTGACAGATGAGAAAACCAACTCTGCCGTGTAGGAGTTTCAGAAGGATATAAAGCCAGAGAAGCCATCCTCCAAAACAGCCATTTTCTCCAGGGGAGCTGATCTTAAATCATCTGGAGATCAACTGTAATAACAGGGGATCTCCAGCTGCCACCTGGAGTTTGGCAACCCTAGTTTCACTGCATCAGGGGTTATTTTTGGTGAGTTTCACTTACGTCCCACCTTGCTCCCCAATGAGGACCCAAAGCAGCTTACACCATTCTCCTCTCCTCCATTTCATCCTCACAACAACCCTGCAAAGTAGGTTAGGCTGAGAGCCCAAGGTCACCCATCTAGCTTCCAGAGCTCAGTAGGGAACTGGAGCCTGGGTCTCCCAGGTCCTACTTTGACACTCTAGCCACCACACTATGCTCGCTCTCTATGGTTAACCATTTATATTATCACCTGATTACCTTCCTACAGCATGAATCTTTTTGACTTCCTAACAGTTCTAAAGGGTCAATAATAATAATAACTGTGTCTCATCGAGTCACAAACAACTTGTGGAAACCCCAGGACTATAGAGTTTCCAAGGTGAGAGGTGGTCCCTGGGTGGTCTCCCAAACAAATCCTAACTGTGGCCAACCCTGCTTAGCTTGCAAGCTCTGACAAGCTCACACGACACAAGGCAATTTGGGCGGCTCCCATTAGAAGAAGAGGAGGAGGAGGAGATTGGATTTATACCCTGCTCACTTGGAGTCTCAGAGCAGCTTACAATCTCCTTCCCTTCCTCTCCCCACAACAGACACCCTGAAGTAGGTGGGGCTGAAAGAACTCTTTGAGAACTGCTCTTGAGAGAACAGCTGTGAGAGAATTGTGGCTTGCCCAAGGTCACCCAGCAGCTGCATGTGGAGGAGTGGGGAATCAAACCCGGTTCACCAGACTGGTGTAGGGTCAAGCCAACTGCAGGGGTACTAAGAATGAATGGGCTTTCCCTGTTCCATTCCTTTCCTGTTCCAGAGGTTCACTCTGTTTTGTATTCCACTCCTTCTTGTTATATTAATTCCAGAGTTAGAGCATGCATAATATGTCAGCTCCATGACATCCCATCCTTTCCCCACAGTACATGACCACTGTGCAAAGCATATTGATAAAACACTGCGAGAGAGAGAGAGAGAGAGAGAGAGAGAGAGATTGAGAGAGAGAGATTGAGAGATTGAGATTCTTTTTGTGTGGTGCTTCACTCATGGTCATCTGCTTTATATATATATTTTAAAGCACCATACAAAAAGAATCTGGAGATCTGCCTTAATGCAGCTGTTCTGATTGGCAGTTCCCTAGGGTCTCAAGCAGAGGTCTTTCCTAACACCTGTTACTTGAAATCCTTTGACGGGAGACGCCAGAGACCGAACACATCAAGACCACTATTTCACATTAAGGTGGCTACTGTGCATTCTTCTATCAATCCCCACATCACTAATAGAGAGGACAGGAGATAAAGCCCAATTAAAATTATGTCAGCTCGCACCTATACAGTGTCACGTACAAAATCTGGAAATGAAATGAGAACAATTGAGCATTCTGGATGCATGCGTTCCCGTGTTGGAAACGAAAACGGGTAATTCAGATGAGGAGACTACCAGAAACACCCCCATTGCAAACACACAAAATCAACTGTGTGAGGGACAGGTTCCCTCATTTCCTCCTTTTTTGCTACATCTACTGTGGTAAGAACGAAACTGCTATTTTTCCTTATTGGCCAATGGTTAAGGAAGAGGAGAGTGATGTGGCAAAATGGCCCACAGTAACAGGTAATACATTTCTTTCACATAAGGTGGGCATTTCCTGTTCTCTAAAGCACATTGCACAAATTAAAATCTCCTTTTAAAAACTTTGTTTGAGTTATTACACTTTAGAAACCACACAAACCCAAAATCAATCCTGTTGCTTCAGTGCTGGGGGGGCAAGCGAGTCTTCATTAAAATAGTCCTTGTTAAAAATAGTGCACTCCCTCATGAAGGACGAACAAAAACGCACACAGAAGCCGCGTTGTCATTCTGCACACTTGTTGACATTTGGAGGGGTGGATTTGTGTACTTTGAATGTGAGAATCCAAACGACTGCGCAAGGAGAAAAGGGTTTTCTTTTCTTTTCTTTTTTTGTGGAGCTTCCCGAAATGTACTTTTAAGAAGTTCAGGTTTCCCGTAGGATTTTCAAAGCTGCACAATCAGTTTTGAAGACGACTGAAAAGGGTTTTTTTTTTAAGGATCCTTCAACAACCTTTGAGATTGTGTTTCTATCATATGGCAGTCTAACTTGCCTGATAATGCAGGGTATAAGAAAGCCAAGGTTTATTCTCTGATCCTCTCGCACCCTTTGCTGGCCCTTCAGCTGAGGGCCAGCAAGCTTTCCTTAGCGTCACACTCCAAAAGAAATACGGAACACCATTTGAGAGAAGAAGCCGTGGAACTGGAAGCTGGCCGAAACCAGCAAGAGAGAGAAGGAAGGTTCAATAAATAAAAGTTTTTTAAAAATTAATTTGTCTTCTCTTCCCTTAAAATCCTTCCCTGATCATGTGAATAGGGCAGAGGGTTAATTTTGAAGTGTCCCTTGTGAGAGTTCCGTTTCATTAGTTCATCAGCAAAGGGTGAGCTTTCTACTTGATGAAATTTTTAATTGTCCATCTTTGTCCTGTGCAGCTGCGGAGGATAAGATCCATACCCGACAAGCCTTTATTCTCAACTTCCAAACACCGTCCGGTCCCTTTATTGATAATCGCACCATTCTAAAATTAAAAACAAACACATAGAGAGACAGTTAAAGCCACTGTTGACTTTGGGGATTCCACCCTCAACAAGGACCTGACTGGAGGTGTTGACCAGGGTGAGCAACAGATGGCCAGTAAGAGATAAGGTTGCAAATTTATTTTAATGTACAGCCTCTGATAGCATTTGCCATTAACAGGACCAGGGGTAATTTCCTGCAGGAGCGGAGCTCCGGCAGTAAAGAGCCCAGGGGGCGGGCACATGCAACAAGCCCCACCCCCTGCTCCCAGCAGCCCCGGGCCACAAGGAGCAAGAAACAGCCAGGAAAGTTGCAGAGCCCCCCCCCGATAGCAATCCAAAACAGCCCAGTGGCACCTTTAAGGCCAAGGTTTATTCAGGTACAAGCTCCCCCTCCTCTGTGAGGGCAGATCTGCGCGTTCCCCCCCACGGCTAGCAATCCAAAAGAGTCCAGTGGAGCCTGAGCGGTGGGTGTTGCCTTCCGGTGATGTCAGGGGGCATGGCATATGCAGATAAGTCATGCTAATGAGATATGCTAATGAGCTCCTGCACCTCTTTTTCTATGAAATGACCCCTGAACAGGACCACAAATAGAATCCTTCCCCTGGACCTGCTAGGAATTCTGGTTCAGCAGGATGCTGTATGTGTGAATCACTCTAAACCAGGAACGGCCAAACTTGCTTAACATAAGAGAATAAATGTCAGATGTTTGAGAGCCGTGTGCTATGAACAAATATTACACAAATGTTTTTATTGAAAAATATGCACACTTGCTTTTTATTAACACTACATGAGACTGCCAAAAATAAAAACAAAAGGGGTAAAAATAGATATTGATAATATTTATTTGCTGAATGATATTTGTAGGTGGGGGGGGGCTTTCATAGAATCATAGAATGTCAGAGTTGGAAGGGACCTTGCAGGCCATCTAGTCCAACCCCCTGCACTCTGCAGGAGCACAGCCGAAAGAGAGCCCTACACAGGGGTCATTTTGTAGGAAAAGAGGTGCAGGAGCTCATTAGCACAACTCATTAGCATAACATTTGCATATGCCACACCCCCTGACGTCACCGGAAGTGTGTCAGAAGGCAACACCCATCGCTCAGGTTCGATTGGACTGTTTTGGATTGCTAGCTATTGGGGGGGGGGGAATGTGCAGATCTGTCCTCGCAGAGGAGGGAGAGCTTGTACCTGAATAAAACTTGTTCTTAAAGGTGCTCTGCAACTTACCTGGCTGCTTCTTGCTCTGACTGAGGGCTACTGGGAGCAGAGGGTGGGGCTTGTTGCATGTGCCCGCCGCCTGGGCTCTTTACTGCCGGAGCTCTGCTCCTGTGCGCTCCTGCAGGAAATGAGCCCTGGCCCTACAACATACCCGAAAAACGGTTGTCCAGGCTCCGCTTGAAAACGTCCAGCAAAGGAGCATCCACCACTTCCCTAGGCAGTCTGTCTCACTACTCAACCACTCTTACAGTTAGGAAGTTTCTCCTGATATTTAGCCGGTAACGACTCCCTTGTCATTTCCACCCATTAGATCTAGTCTTGCAATCCGGAGCAAGAGAGAATAGATCCGCTCCCATAGGCGTAATCTTCGTGGGGGCGGCGAGGCGTCAGCCCCCGCCGAAATTTTCAGGAAGGTGCTCAGCCTCCCCCGGGAGCCACCCTTACTCCTAGCAAAGCAATGCCTCTGGCCCAGCCCCCCCCCCCGGGAAATTGGAAAGTCTACACCCTTGTCGCTCCATCTTTGAGAACGCATTTAAAGTTAAAGCTGCTTTCTTTCTCTTCTCCCCCCTGCCTCAAGCCAACCCAGGAAGGGGAATTGGCTGGGGAAGAGAAGACCCTTCGGGGAGGGGAGGCATGCCTTCGCTTGCCCAGCAGCCCGGCCGGGAGCCACACAATCATGTGGCTCCCGAGCCGCAGTTTGGCCACCCCTGCTCGAAACAGATCGATTACAAGTTCCAGAACTTCTATTTGTGCTGCATTCCACTAGTTAGAAATGAATGCCAGACTTAGGTCATGTGTTCTTTGCCACCGTATTTTGTTCCTTTGCAACTTTTCTACGTTACCCGTGTCCGTGTCTGTCGTTAAAAGGTCGTGTTGCTGTGACTCTTCTGGGCAATTGCATCAAGATTCTTTCGAGGCACTGTTTTTCTGATGTGCGCATGTTTCCCTGCACATAAGTAGAACGCCACCCACACAAAAGGATCTCGATACATCAGTATGCATAGTCACCCCAAGACTGCTCCCCCCCCCCGAGTACTTTACAAATAAGACGTGCAGATTGGGAAATAGAAGGCAAAAATGGGTGAACATGAATCAAAACCTGAAGGAAACTGTACTTCACCTCTGCACAAATGTGGGGGGAAAACAGGACCACAGAAAATTCCCATTCAAAACTTCAAAATTGGGGGGAGGGGGAAATTGCAGTAGGGAGCACCCCAATAATATTTCTCTCTCCCATATTAGAGAGGTTCGTTCCCCAGATTGTGGAGGGGTGGTGGTGGAACACAGGAACTGTTTCTTGACATGTGTTACCACAGAGGTCATATGAAGCACAGATGATTTTGCCCTGGCGATTGTTAAATCTGGTAGAATTTCTACCCACACAATGGCCATGTCACACGTATGTATGACATCAGTACCTTGATGTTTCTTATGTGACTTTGATATGCTGTATAAGATAATTACTTGTCTACTTCCCTATGATTCATTGTACATAAGAACATGAGATCATAAGAGACGCCAATGTTGGATCAGGCCAATGGCCCATCCAGTCCAACACTCTGTCACACAGTGGCCAGAAATACCAGGGGCCATCAGGAGGTCCAGCAGTGGGGCCAGGACACTAGAAGCCCTCCCACTGTTGCCCCCCCCCCAGCACCAAGAATACAGTGCATCACTTGCCCCAAACTGAGAGTTCCTATCTATACCTTGTGGCTAATAGCTACTGATGGACCTCTGCTTCATATGCTTATCCAATTCCCTCTTGAAGCATTCCATGCTTGTAGCCACCACCACCTCCTGTGGAAGTGTAGACCCATAGCTAGGTAGACAACCACTTTGGAAATTCTATCTCCCCAGCAAACATACACAGTCTCTTCTTTCCAGGGCTCTCTAAGCCCTTAGAGGAGTAGTCACTGATCCCTCCCCCTTTTCCTTTGACTGACACTCAGCTGGTCTCAATATCCCATGTACCTTTTAGTCCCTGTCTGGCGCCTCACCCTGACCTGCCCCCACCTTCTCCTTTGATTAATTCCCCCCCCCCTTCCAGTTTGGAAATGGAAACTTTTGTGACTGCATCCAAACCTGTATGAAATTCCAGCGCTTATGGAGACTGCTCTTGACTTTCTCACAATCGAGGAGTTGAGGGGAATGGCTTTTCATGTTGTCCACCAGGCATCGGGTATCGGGCAGGAGAATTGTGGTCCCAAGAGCACCCAAATGAAGAAAGCCTTCTTTGGTGTAGCGGGCAAGCTGGATGAAGACAGAAGAAAGAGACAGATTACGGATGGTTAACTTGCACAGTGTTCATTTATTGGATATTCCGAGCCGCGAACGAATGGATGTCGTTCAAGGGCCATCATTTTGGGATGGTGTGAACACGTGCTCCTGCACACTGATAAAGCACCACGATGACATGTATGAGTGCATCAGGACTGGATGATAGGGCAGTCAGGTCCTTTCTGGCCAGCAGCAGGGGATGGGGGTGGGTTGGGTTGCCAGTTCCGGGTTGAGAAACTCCAAGAAGAAGAAGAAGAGGAAGAAGGGGGAGGAGGAGGAGGAGGAGGAGGAGGAGGAATTGATATCTCCCCCTTCACTACCTGAAGGAGTCTAAGAGCACCTTACAATCTCTTTTCCCTCCCCACAACAGACAACCTGTGAGGTAGGTGGGGGTGAGAGAGCTCTTTCGAGAACTGCTCTTGAGAGATCAGCTCTGAGAGAAGTTGTAACTGACCCCAGGTCACACCAGCAGTTGCATGTGGAGGAGTGGGGTATCAACCCCAGTTCTCCCAGATTAGAGTCCACGCTCCTAACCACTTGGGGTTAGGAGATTTGGGGGCAGAGCTTGAGGAGGACAGGGACCTCAGTGGGGCCCAGTGCCATAGAGTCCATCCTCCAGAGCATCCATTTTCTCCAGGGGCATTGATCTCTGTAGTCTGGGGGATGAGCTGCAATCCCAGGGGATCCCCGGGTCCCACCAGGAGGCTGGCATGAAGATATGGGACAGAAGGTACTGAATCTAAAGGAAGTATTTTGCACGTGCAAGTGCTCCTTGCAAAAATTCAGATTTTTTTTAAAAAAATCTGGAACAGTGGACTCCTCCTGATGCGTCCATTCCAGTTTGGAAACATGACCACGTAACATTCAGAACTCCGCAATCTGGGGAGAAATGTGGATGGGAAGGATTTCAGAAACATCCCTACCTGGGGTCTTGCACTCCCTTTCACATAAGCCCACAAGTTATTGTGAACACAACTACAATCTGTGTACAGTGTACGCTTGACTTTAAAAAATTACACACGTTGAGTCATCCTCATGTTACATTCAATGCATGTACCGTTGAACGTGTGATATGGACCAGAGGCTGCCCCCAAGGAGTCTGAATTGGAGGCTCCTCCACCAGAACAATGTCCTCCCCAGACCCTGGGGGCAACTCAGCACCTGCCCAGGACCTGGCCCACCAGCCCACCAGGATCTGCCTCCACCTCGCAGGAACAGAGGAGGCAGCAGGTTCATGCTGAGAAAGCTGAGAGGAAGCACAGTGCTAGACTAGTAGCCCATGCAATGCCCGGGGAACCAGATTAGAATCATGGGGTTTTCAAGGCAAGAGATGAGCAGAGGTGGTTTGCCATTGCCTGCTTTGGTTTAGCTACCCTGGTTTCTCATCCAAGTACTAACCATGGTCAGCCCTGCTTAGCTTCTGAGATCTGACAAGGAAGAAGAAGAAGAGGAAGAGGAGGAGGAGATTGGATTTATACCCTGCCCTTCACTCATACTATTCCCCAGTAGTCATGTATGGCTGCGAGAGTTGGACTATAAGGAAGGCCGAGCGCCGAAGAATAGATTCTTTTGAACTATGGTGCTGGAGAAGACTCTTGAGAGTCTCTTGGACTGCAAGAAGATCAAATCAGTCAGTCCTAAAAGAAATCAACCCTGACTGTTCCCTGGAAGGTCAGATAATGAAACTGAAGCTCAATACTTTGGCCACCAAATGAGAAGAGAGCACTCACTGGAGAAGACCCTGCTGCTGGGGAAGATTGAAGGTCAAAGAAGACGGGGACGGCAAAGGATGAGATCGTTAGACAGTGTCATAGATGCAACGAACATGAAATTGAGCAAACTTCAGAGGATGGCGGAAGACAGGAAGGCCTGGCGGTAGCTGGTCCATGGGGTCGCGAAGATTCGGACTCGACTGTGCAACTGAACAACAACAACAACTTCACTCAGAGTCTCAGAGCGGCTTACAAACTCCTTTCCCTTCCCCTCCCTGCGACAGACACCCTACCCTGTGAGGTAGGTGGGGTTGAGAGAGCTCCGACTGAGAACTGCTCTTTCAAGGTCATCCAGCAGCTGCAAGTGGAGGAGTGGGGAATCAAACCCAGTTCTCCCAGATTAGAGTCCGCACTCCTAACCACTACATCAAACTGGCTAGCCTGGGCCATCCAGGTCACAGTAGAGCTACACTGCCGCTAAAGCTGAGGATATTCTTGTTTATTTATTTAGAAAGTGAGTATGCTGCTTCTCAAGAGATTGACTTGAGGTAGCTCACAACTAAAGCAATATAGCAAAATCAAAGAAGCCAGGGGTGTTAGAAGCATAATTTTTTAAAAAATTGACCAGCCTAAAAATAAGTAAATCCATAAACTGATTGTGAAGCTAGAAGAAGAACACAAAATCGCTGAAAAATAAAATGGAACCCCTCAGTTAAAACCCTGGGTAAGAAGAAATGTTTTGGCCTGGCACCAATGCTCCCTCTAAGCTGTGGAGTCTTGTGAGCAAAAATCCTACTTTTTGAGCTCCTGGCATTAAAGTTGTGAGCCAGCGATTTGGCTCCTGCATAAATCAGTTTGCTCTGGAGCCATCCTTCCTGAGCCAGGACAAAATGTGTGAGCCGGAGGCTAAAAAACTGTGAGCTAGCTCACACTAACTCAGCTTAGAGGGAACACTGCCTGGCACCTAGTTGTCATTCCTCACAAGAATATAAAAAAGAGCTCTGCTGGATTGGAAACAAGTGCTGGGAAGCCGCAAGAAGGGCACAAAGTCAAAGGCCTGATTCTGTTGTCTGTCTCTGGTATCTGGTACTCAGTGGCCAACCACGTCCATATCTGGGAGTTCTGTTTTGCTAAAATCGTCACTTAAAGACCTTCCCTCCCATGTCCTTTTCTAACCCCCTCACAAAACCTTCTCAACCGGGCTGCCATTATTGTATCTTACCTTGGCAAAATTCCATAAATCAATTGCTGCGTTGTGTGCAAAACTGTTTCTCTGGTCTGTCATAAGAACATAAGAGAAGCCAGTGTTGGATCGGGCCAGTGGCCCATCTAGTCCACCTCTCTGTCACACAGTGGCCAAAAAGACCAGGTGCCATCAGGAGGTCCACCAATAGGGCCAGGATACTAGAAGTCCTCCCACTGTTGCCCCCCCCACAAGCACCAAGAATACAGAGCACCCCTTGCCCCAGACTGAGAGTTCCTATCTATACCTGCTCCATATGCTTATCTAATTCTTTCTTGAAGCCGTCCATGCTTGTAGCCGCCGCCACCTCCTGTGGCAGTGAATTCCATGTGTTAATCACTCCAGGTGGTAGCTGGAGATCATCTGTGATTACAACTTCAGGTGACAGAGATCAGTTCACCTGGAGAAAATGGCCACCTTGGAAGGGGGACTCTATGGCATTCTACCCCACTGAAGTCCCTCCCCCTCCCAAACCCTGCCCTCCTCAGGCTCCACCCCTAAAATCTCCAGGTATTTCCCAACCCAGAGCTGGCAAACCTAGCAGTGGGCAAGGGTGTAGACTTTCCAATTTCCCGGGGGGGGCTGGGGCTCGACCAGAGGCATTGCTTTGCTAGGAGCAAGGGTGGCTCCCGGGGGAGGCTGAGTACCTTCCTGAAAATTTCGGCGGGGGCTCACGCCCCGCCGCCCCCACGAAGATTACGCCTATGGCAGTGGGTATAAAATGCTGTTAGTTTGAATACAGTTTAATTGACTGTTTATTTTAGGGAATACAATCACACAGTAATAGTGAAAAATCTCCCCCGACCCCTTCTCTCACTCCACTGTCTGTTATAGGCAGTGGCATACCAAGGGTAAGGTCGTGGTAGTGGTCCATCCTAGGTGCTGGGGGTGCTTGAGCATTCCCCTGACTCGCCTGGGGCTGGAGCTGTGGTATGCCAAAGTGCAAGGGCGCCACTGGCACCTGTGGCCACTGGATGCAGGCTCTGGTTGGGTGTGGCTGTGGACTGGGCGGCCCCTGGACCATGAGGTGCAGCCCCTCTACGCCATACACCCAGTCCTCTGCTGCAAGCGCTACTCACTCTCTGCTGGCCTGAGCTGGACTTGTTGACCATCGCTATGCTGCTTGCCAATGACAACCTGCCATGCTTTGCACCCTTTCCCAGCCAGGTGGTGATGTGCCTCCGCGTGGAAGCGACGCTGGCACTGCAGGGCCCAGGTGTCATGGGCATGGATGGGGATGAGCTGACAGAGCCTGCAGAAACCACAGCTGGCCCCTCTGAAGCAGCAGAGGAGGGTAGCTGGCAAGTGCCTGTAACAGCAGTCTTCACACCTGGCCCAGAGAAGAAGGAAGAACTGCAAGCTGAAAGTCCTCCTGACTCACCCCCGCATGTGACTCATTTAAGGGAGCGACTGTGGCAAAACTTAGCAAGCAGACGAAGAGAGGCCAGTGAGGGAGACGCTCAGCCAGCCCAGAGTTCTAACAGGAGCCTGGCCAATCATGCAGCTGGCTAATTGGTAACAGCATTTAACTCCATACTCTGGGCAGTACCCTTTGTGGAAGCAACAAGTCAACGTCGTGCTGCTAGCATCCACTCCGCCTCGGCTCTTGAACCTAGACCTTTGGACCCCCTGACTTTGGACTTGGCTCTGTGTTCCTGGCTCCTGACCCCGGCTTGGCTTTTTGGACTTTGCACTGTCTTCTTGGCTTGTTCTGGACTCCCTTTGACTGGCACCCCAGCCCGTGACACCAGGTCTGGTAGGCATGGGCCCAGGATGCCGATGCTCACGCTGCACTACGTTGCCCACCTGCCCAGCGCCCAATTTTTGTGGTGCCATGCAGTGTGGTGCTGGTGCACTCCCTGCTCAGCTGCTGGGCCCCCATCCGGCTGCTCTTCTTCACCCACTCTGGGTGTCAAATATGCTAGGTACGCCACTGGTTACAGGAGGAGCTTAATTTTTCAGTGTTTCCATGCAGATAGATAGCCCTGAAGCATTTTTAAAAAAGAGTCACGATGCAAATGATTAGAGGGGAAAGAAGCCAATCCCCTGATGTCTGACGAAGGGAAGAAATGAAAATTGGAAAGAGCAGGAAGAACAGAATGACACTGAGCTGGTTTGACAGGCAGCTGAAGGAAATGAGCTTCAGTGAGAAATTTTAAATTCAGAACAGCAGACCGGAGAAGAAAACACCATTTTGTAAAAAAGAAACAGAAAAAAAAAGAAACCCATCTTCTTGCCCACAGATTTTTTTTTAAACAATCTATCAGTCTAGTACTTTCTTATCCAGCCTTTCTGAGTAAAAGGTCAAGTCTCCCATTTTGTGTTCACAACAATCCTGTGAGGTAGGGAAGGCTAAAAAGGGAGAGTGACTGGCCCAAGGATGCCCTATGGGCAGGGCCGGCCTGAGGTTTTTTTTTGCACCCTAGGCGGGGCTACCTTCTGGCGCCCCCCGTGCACCCAATTATGGAGTTGCCAACCTCCAGGCAGAGCCTGGAGAGAAGGAAGTCCTACTTCTCTCCCCCTTTAGGCGAGCGAGGAGGAAGCGGCGAGGTTTCCGGGCACCCAAACCAAAACACCTCACATTTGGATTTACAAAAGCCGACCCCGGGCGGAGGGGGAAGGTGAGGCAACCTTGCACTCCCCTTTCACGCCCCCCCATGCCGCGTGGCTGGGGGCAGCAATAGCACGCGGGGTTTTGGCGCGGGGGGGAGGCACAGTTCGGCACCCCATCCAGGGCCCGGCGCTCTAGGCGAATGCCTAGTTTGCCTAGTGGGTGAGCCGGCCCTGCCTTTGGGTTTCACAGGGGAGCATGGATTTGGAATCAGGTCTCTCCCTCCACCCCCTGAACATTCTAGCCACTACACCACGCCGGCTTTGAGGAACAAGTTCCGGCTTTGCCATAGAAGCTCACTGGGTGACTAAGGGCCAGTCAGTCTCTCTCAGCTTAAGCCACCTCATGGGTGTTCTGTGAGGATAAGACGGAGGAGGGGAGAACACTGTTGTACTCTGCTTTGCATCTTCCAGGAGGAGAAAAGTGGGGTAGAAATATCTAAACGAATAATTTTAAAAATACATCTGAACAGGGGGAAAACACGATTCCCTTCCATCCTGCTCTCTGCAGGCTGGGCCAGTCAGGCCTCCTCAGAGGGCTGCCAACCTCCAGGTGGCACCTGGAGATCTGCTCTTTTGATCTCCAGACGACCAAGATCAGTCCCTCTGGAGAAAATGGCCACTTTGGAGGATGGACTGTACAGCATTACACCGCAATGAGTAGGGTTGCCAGATCTTACCTGTTGTCAGCAAGCTGCCAATGTGTTTCCCTGTACTCTGTGTATGCTCTGATGTTTCACTATGCTCTGTATGTATTCTTATGTACCCTTGTCTTTGGGTATGCGCTTGTTTGCTTTCACTTTCCCATGTATGCCTGTTTATACGCTTAATTGCCTAGTAGCAGGAACGTCCGTATCTCTCAAGGCCGCAGGTGGTTGCTGCAGTATAGTAGTTTGGGTGATCTCATGGCGTTATCCATGAGAAGCAGCATGTTATGAGTAAGTAGGAGCGTTACTTCCCAGGCTCAATGGCGTGTGCGGGAAGTCCCGCAATTGGGCCTCAGCTTTTTGAATTTCCTATAATCTATGGGGATCCATGCTTGTTCCTCATTCTGAACAGTGATCCTGTTATGCACCTGTTGCTTCAAATAAAGAAACCTCTCTTCTGCAAGTGTGTTCTTCGTTGATGCGATGGGAGTCTGACACCTGTCTGCCGGCAGGGGGCTCCTGGCTTGGTCCCAGTGTCTTTTTGGCGTGCGTGCTTTGCACGTGCACTGTGATGACATCACCCAGAAGGGAAGACATTGTGCTGGGCACGTTGTACGGGGACGCTCTAGCATCTGGCTAAAAACTCTATGGTCACCATAGAGTTTTTAGCCAAATGCGAGAGCATCCCCTGTGCGTTGTGCTCGGGTGACGTCATTGCACTGGGCATGTCGGGTGCCGTGGGGCTCTTCAGGGGCAGGGCTCCCCCCGCCAGCCAGCTTGCCAGTGGTGGATTGGGCCCCCGAAATCAGGGGAACCCCCGCCCACATCAGGGGGCTGACAACCCTACCACTGAGGTCCCACCCCACCCCCAAATCTCCAGGTATTTTCTAACCCAGAGCTGGCGACCCTATATCGGGAGCAGTGCCCTCCGGTCTAGGCAGCGAAGCCTGAGAGCATCCACAGGAGCCGGCAGCCAGGAGCTGGAACTGGAGACAGGGAGCTGTGGCGCTGGCTCACACCTAGTGGGCGGGCAGATCCAGCAAGGCAGCTTCCCCGAGCTTCAGCCTAAATAGGCTGGGAAGTAATCAGCTGCCGTGCTGAGCTCCTGGTGCTGCACGGAACCAGAAGACCAAAATAATGAGAGCTGCCACCCATCACCACAACCTGGCAAGTTCTGAACATGTGCCACCTGTCGGTACCAGTGTTCCCTCTAAGCTGAGTTAGTGTGAGCTAGCGCACAATTTTTTAGCCTCCGGCTCACACATTTTTGTCTTAGCTCAGGAAGGCGGGCTCCAGGGCAAACGAATGTATGCAGCAGCCAAATTGCTCGCTCACAACTTTAATGCCAGTAGCTCTCAGAGTAGAATTTTTGCTCACAAGACTCCATAGCTTAGAGAGATCATTGGTTGGTACTGGCTTACTATGCGCATGTCAGCAGTGGCTGCCCACCATATTGGAACACGGGCTGAATGATGTTTTAAAAATGTTGCTTATTTTAAAGAGCAAAGAAATGACATATATAGACAGGGCGAGAGAAAAATGGACGTTCTGACTGGGATCACTTAATTTCGACACACATAATTTGTGTCCATCACTAACAGAGACGGATATCCTTTTACACTGACCAATATCCTTTTACACTGACCAATATCCTTTTACACTGACCAATACAAATTCTAACCTGAGGGCCCCACCCATGGCATGGATACAGGATTGCTGTGTGGTTTTCCTGCGGTCCTTGGTCCAGGCAAACGTCTTTCACTTTGTTGTTGCGGAGCTGTAAGAAACCAAAAAAGCAAAATAAATCCCTGTATGGTTCTTAAGCCCTTACTTGGGTAGCTCAGGCTAGAACGATCTCATCAGACTTTGTAAACTAAGCATGGTTGGCTCTGGAAGATCGCCAAGGAAGCCCAGAGTTGCTACACAGAGGCAGGCAATGGCATACCACCTTTGAATGTCTCTTGCCTTGGAAACCCTACGGGGTCGCTGTAAGTCGGCTGAGACTTGACAGTAGTTTCTCCACCACTGTGGTTCTTAAGGGACATGCATGCTGTTGGAAATGTGTGACTTGCAAGGTCTAGATTCCAGTCATTATACTTTTACCTTCTGTACTATTGTTTAGACTGACCTGGAAGGGAAACTTGGCTCAGAGCCAATGGGAAGATAGCCCGGGAAAATCTAAGTCCGTTTACTAGCAATCATTGGTTTACTGTGTTCAGGTGACTTCTTTCTAGGGGTCAAGAAGAAGAAGAAACTCCATTGTTGTGTGACCATGTGTTCTGTGCTGTAAGGATGTAAAGATGTAGGTCTAGATATCTCTTTTGTTTTGTAGCTTTCCATGTGAACCCTTCCCTTAGAAATAAAGATTTTTACACATGCAATCAAATAGCTTCCAATTATTGCCATAAAAATTTAACAGGAATGCAATTGGTATCTCAAAGTTTGTGTTCCCTGCAGTTTACGTGTCCATCCATCTACTGTATTTCATATATGTCCCGAAACAATTTTATTTAATGGCTCTATTTTCAATCAAAAACGTCGAGGCGGGGAAAACGTATAGGAGTCAGAAAAACTGCTGAGTCCTTTGAAATGGTAATCTCTGGAGGGCTCTCTTGTATGAGGAACACAGTACAGTTTTGACAAAACGGCAAAATACACATTCATAAATAATGATTTTAGAATGAAGCTGTCAAAAAGGAAACATCAATGGAAATTATTTAATTGGGGTTAGTAGAATTCCATTCCTCAGATCTTTTCTCAGGCTATTGAACCAGCAGGTGATAAATATGCCTTCACAGGTATCACATTCCACAATAGAGGGCCTAGACCTGAAATAAGTTATTTTCTGGATAATAATAATTTATTAATTTGCTATTTCTCTGGAGCTATTATTTGCCCCATTAGGGGGAACGTATGGGAAACACTCAGACAACTGGTATGATAATTCCTGAAGGGTAACTGTAATGATTCCATTTTTGGTGTGTGTTTCTTTAAATGTTTAGTTTGACTACAGTTTATTATTTATTTATTTATTTAGACATTTTTACCCCCGCCCTCCCCGCAAGCGGGCTCAGGGCGGCTTACAAGGGGCGAAAGTCCATGCATAAAATCCAATAAAACAGTAAAATCATAATAGTAACAAATCCTGCTGGCATTGCCACCATTGGTGGTGGTGGCAGCGGCAGCCCCTATGTGAAAGCCTGGCGGAAGAGCTCCGTCTTGCAGGCCCTGCGGAACTGCATAAGGTCCCGCAGGGCCCTGATCTCCTCTGGGAGCTCGTTCCACCAGGTAGGGGCCGCCACTGAGAAGGATCTAGCCCTGGTCGCAGCCCTGGTCTTTTAGAGGGAGCATTGATTACAAGTGATCTCCAAGCTACAGAGAGCATTTCCTCTGGAGAAAACGCCAGCTTCAGAGGGTGGATTCTATGGCATTCCATCCCTGCTGAGCTCCTCTGCAGGCTCCACCTCCAGATCTCTAGAAATTTCCAACCCAGAGCTGGCAGCCCTACTGAGGGCCTACATCAAAGCCAAAGGTTAATAAGCAGGGCTTGCATTCAGTAGGGCCTGTAGCAAATTATGTCAAAACAGATAAATCCGGAGCTTGTACAGTCCACCCCTATGTCTATTGACCTAGAAGTAATTCTTAATTTGTTCAGTGGAACTTACTTTTGGGGAAATATTATTCTTATTTATTATTCTTATTTATTTGATTTATATCCTGCCCTCCCACTAGGGCAGGCTCAGGGCAGCTTACAACATTCATAAAGCATAAATACAGTTAAAAACATCATCAGCATATAAATAACTTAAAATTAACAATCATTTAAAACATATGAAAACGCTTGAGCAACAGTTCTTTATGGTATAACTCGGGTGATTGTTGGGTAGTTATTCTTACACATCAGCTCAGTTCTATATATATATATATATATATATATATATGAGAGAGAGATTAGACTGAGTGTCTAAGCCTGTCAGAGTAGAGTTTGGCATTTGAAAGACTGTGACACCAAGCTTTGCCGGTTATATTTACAAGTTCCTTTCTTCAGCGACAATTCAAAATAACCAGAAACCTATTTTGTTCTTTATTAAATAAATCATTTTTTGTTTAAACTTATCCCAGCAATCAGAATAGTCCTTCCTCAGGGCCATACAGTCTTCTGAAGTGCCCAGACCAAAAAAGGGAGATTTGGATTTTTAAAATTCCTGGTGGCAGTAGAAATCTACCAAGTTCATGTACACAGAGTGTGTTTTAAAGGTAAAACCGTCTCCCCAATAAGCAAGGACCTCATAGTAACCATGTTAGCCTATAAGAGAGTGTTGAACGGCGGGCATCTTTTAAGGAGGGAAAGGAGAGAGATTGGGGTTTGCTGTTTTATTTTGGTTTTTAACCGAAGGTGCTTGTAACTATTATCGTAAGCTTCCCTGAACCACGAGGACAGGTAAGATACAAATCTTTTAATACATAAATAAATAAATTTCAGCTCTGGAGCTAGGGTTGCCAGCTCTGGGTTGGGAAATGCCTGGAGGTTTTGGGGGGGTGGAGCCTGAGGAGGGAGGGGTTTGGAGAGGGGAAGGGCCTCAGCAGGGTATAATGCCATACAGTCTACCTTTCAAAGCAGCCGTTTTCTCCAGGTGAACTGTTCTCTGTCACCTGGAGATCAGTGGTAATCCCAGGAGATCTCCGGCCACCACCTGGAGGTTGGTAACTCTACCTGGAGCATGCATTTTCGGGTCAGAAAAATGGCTCGAGAAGAGAGGAAGTACTTCCTCCCACTGCTCCCTGTGGTTGTTGGCTCCACCACACTTCTCCATGTGTTTACGCAGGCCTTGCAGAATCAGAAGGCAGCCTGGCAACCTCTGAAGTCCTTTCCACCTGAAAGCTGCAGAGATGCCAGATGGCCGGTTTGTGGCCCTGCCAGGATTGGGCTAGATTTTTTTTCTTGAGCAGCCTCCAAATTATGCCCTGCAGATCTTATCAGAAAGTGACTGAAGGAAAGTAGGACACAAAGAAAGATCAAGGGCACTTTATTCCATCAAAAAACTTATCTTAAATCATCTGGGTATCAGCCAGACCATGAATGGAATCTCACTGGTAATTAACAACTCCACAGCTACCATCCTGGCATGACGGAACCTGGAACTGTATCCCCATAGACAAAGCTGTGTGTCAAATACATCAAGAAAAGGACAAGGATGGGAGGATCTTTACAGACAGCTCATCCCAAATCACACCTGTGTGTGCGTGAGTGTGTGTTAAGTGCCGTCAAGCCACTTTCTGTTGGAAAAATTGGCAAAATAGTTTAATATTCAGAGATCGCAATGGATCGTTGCTTCACTGGAGAGGAGGCATTTTCTTCTATGTAAAAAATATTTATTTCTAAAGGAAGGGTTCACAGGAAATCTAGAAAACAACAAAGACACCAAAGGCTACATCTATACACTTTCACCACGTGGTCTACAACAATGGAGATTCTTCTTCTTCTCGACCCCTAGAAGGAAATCACCTGAATGCATTAACCAATAATTGTGAGTAAACAGACTTCAGTTTTGCTGCCTTTGTTTCCATTGGCTCTGTTCCAGGTTTCCTTTCAGGTCAGTCTAAACAACAGCACACAAGGTAAAGCACATTAACCCTATAATGACTGAATTTTAGACCTTGCAACACACATATTTCCAACACTATCGACATATGAATTCATGTCCTCCAAAATGTCCTGTCATTAATAGCCTTGCTCAGATCTTGCATACTGAGGGCTGGGGCCTCCTTAACTGAGTCTGTCCAAATCATGTTGGGTCTTCCCCTTTTCTTGCAGCCTTCAACTTTTCCTAGTGTTATTGTCTTTTCCAGTGATTCTCAACATCTCATGATGTGACCAAAGTACGATAGCCTCAGTTTAGTCATTTTAGCTTCTAGGGAGAGCTGAGGTTTGATGTGGAACCCACTTATTTGGGGTTTTTTTGGTGGTCCACGGCATCCGTAAAACTCTCATCCAACACCTCTACCATCCTATTAAAGGGGTGATGGTAATTACTTTACGAGTTTAGTTAATCTTAGCAGTATGTATGCCCGCACATTTTATTCTCCTTTCCCCAATCAGCACTTCTAAAATGACTATTTATAAGGGTTCACAAATACCTAGGGGAACAGCAATACAAAACTGTACTATAAACCAAAAGATTGCTGCAAGTGTGCACATACAAATAAATGAATTTACACAAAAGTAAGTCAATCTTCACTTAAGATGTTATTCATGATGTGTCTTTTATATTCAACAGATGAACAGGTGGACAGAAGACAGACGAACTTCTCGAGTAAATGCCCGTTTCGAAGTGTCTTTCTCAATAATTTTGCATCCAAATATACTGAAGATGACGATGAAGTCTTTAGATCAAACTGTTTTTTCCATGAGCTATATAGCTACATACAAAACTCTCCAAAGGACTAATAAGTCTTACCATTGAGAAAGACACTTTGAAACGGGCATTTACTCGAGAAGTTTGTCTGTCTTCTGTCCACCTGTTCATCTGTTGAATATAAAAGACACATCATGAATACAATTCATGTATTTATAAGGGTTGTCATCCCTCCGGGTGGGGCCAGGGGATCCCCCAATTTTGGCCCCCCCAATCCGGGGGAGCTCCACCCCCTAACAGCAGCGTCCCATGGGGACGCCACCGACATACTGGTAGTGATGTCATCACACTGGGGCCATCGTGCAGCGACGCTCTAGCATTCAAGGGGGGGAACTCTACGGTTACAAGGAGCTGGGAACCCCCTGCTACAGCAAAGGTGAGACCTGGACATCCTGCTATTTATCATCAATACTGCCACTGCACCTTTGGTCCTCTCATTTCCTTCCTGACTGCACTGTTACCCTTCTTTATATATGCTTTGGCAAAATTCCCATAAATAAAAAAAGTTAGAGAGATGAAACCATAATCTGCATCTGCCATGTGCCTCCACGCTCATTATGTTCAATATGGTGCCTTGTGGCCAGCTAGGATTAGGCTTCTCTCCAGTATTTCCCCACAGAGCTCATTAGAAGCAGATCAGGAAAAAAAAAATCCTTTGGGCGAGATGGAATATGTAATTCAAGTCCACCATAAGTCGACAATATTCATTAAATTCAACACAGGGCTTGTTTCTTAATTACCTCCCCATATGCAACGGTGTTGTTGTATCGCCTCATTTCTGGGTAGACGTGGTCCAAGTACCACTGGAAGTTCTTGCATTTCAAACTTTTCCTTAGCGCTTTTCTCTCAGAAACATCCCCAATATCAATTCCTGGGTTCTGAAAGAGAGACATTTCTCATGTCATTTTGTCAGTTTGGTAGCTACGTCCCTGAAATTCACCGAGTTCCAGTGTTGTGGTCCACAGATCATTAGGCTGCATATGAAAATATAATATGTCTTGTACTGAATATTGCTATTGGTCTACCAAGGTCAGTATTGTCTACTCTGACTGATAGCAGAGCTCCAGGATATCAGGTGGAGGTCTTTCATGTCACATGCTTTTGTCTGGAAGTCTTTCACATCATCTATTTTGACTCAAGATGCCAAGGATTGAAGCTAGATCCTTCTGCATGCAAGGCAGATGCTCTACCAATGTGTCCAGTCCTCGGTGGCCCCATCAAAGGGTTCGAACTGGCCCTTGGCAGTCATCTTGTACTATCACACTGGAGCGGCAGGGTGCCTGTGTTCTTCTTTGGCCGTGGTAACACTTCCCTCGGCGGTCGGGTTTCACTCTGGTTCAGCGGGGCTGCCTACCCGCTCAGCATCCCATCCTCATTGCCAGTGTTGTAACTCGAGATCAGGCAGCTCTTTCTTTAATCAGTGATTTCAGTTTATTAGAATGGAACACACAACAACACAGAACACACAGAACAGCCCCAACTTATATACAGTTTGGAACTGGCTAAACCACACCCCTAGAACAGTAAGGTCCAGTCATAAGTGAGTGCTTAGGACCAATAGGGTTTGTTCCCGCTGAAAGTCATAGTCTTTCCTGATTGGTCCATTGCACAATGGCAGCTAGACTGTTGATTTTAGGATACTGAGAGTCTATGGAGCTTGTGACTGAAGCTCAGGCTCATTCTACAATTCAGGCTATTTATGTAACACAATACGTAACACCATAACTTCCTTCCAACTGCATAGCATTGTCCTTGGCTGTGGTGGCAGCCCCTGATTGGGCCACATGTTCCTCTGGTATTCAAGGAAGATACAGGAACCAAGCTGCTCTAAAAGAATTGCTTAACATCAAACCAAACCATGGTGAAGTTACCTTAAATGAAGTTTGGCCTGATTTTTGATTAACAAAATAAAATTATCATCCATTAATTGCCATTAGTCACAATGACTAGGGTTGCTAGGTACTGCCTGGCAACAGGCAGGAGGGTTGCGGGGGTGGGGAGCATCACAGAAGAAAAATTAAAAGGAATACCATAGAGTTTCTGGAGATTCCTAGAACGACCCTTGTCATTTCTGGGCAGGGCTGCCAGGAGCCACCATGGACCCACAGATAAAGATTCCATCTGCGCCCTCCCGATCCTGATCCAAACCAAATATCATAACAAAACAAACTAATCACTTGGCTAGCTGCTACCATGAATCTAAAGTCTGTCCATGTTTGTTTACTTATTTGTTTACTTTATTTATATACCAGCTTTCTCCCCAATGGGGACCCAAAGTGGTTTACATCATTCTCCTCTCCTCCATGTTATCCTCACAACAATCCTGTGAGGTAGGTCAGGCTGAGTGTGTGTGACCAGCCCAAGGTCACCCAGCAAGCTTGCATTTGAACCTGGGTCCAACACTTTTCTCATTACACCACACTGGGAGGCATGGCTCAACAGTGAATAAAGCTAGGAAACTCAAAATTGGCCACCAGCTTCAGGATGACTGTGGGAGTTCCATGGTCAAAACTGAAAATCCTAGCCAACACTACAGCGCTGTGCCATTTGCAACTGTAGTGGCCATCAGCTGGGGTTGCTTGTCTTGCCCTATGGCTGGCTTGCTTGGTGGACTTCGCACAATCTGTTAGGCAAGTTTGCTTCAGTCTTGGAGAATAGCAAACCTAGTTGATAGTAGAGTGCCTTTTACTGTGCTCAAACTTCCCTGTGCCCCTAGTGGCTGAAGCCAGAATTGCATTAAAATAAATGGAAAGACATTCTGAAGGCTGCAGCATGAGCTAGCTTCATGGGCCTTCCAGCTGATTTAGACCCCACAAATTTTGTCCCCCCAATCCCCCTCCATTGGTGGCCCTGCTTCTAGTCTAGGAACCATCAGGAACTCTATGGTGAAATTTCTTGTAAGTAGAGGAGGCTTATATTATTATTTTTTTTCTTCCCCTGGTTCTCCTCCAGGTTCTGCCCACCAATTAGGTGAGCATCAGTGGGCAAGGGACACAATTACTTAGAGGTCTCCCACCATAAGCTGGCAAATGGGAACCCTAAGTGACAGCATAGAATCTCCATGTTCAGAAGAAGTATATTTCCTGGAAGGGAGGCAACAATCTTGGCCTCTTGCCTTTGCTTCTAGGCCTTCTGGGGGTGGGTACCTGGCTTGCCATTGTGGAAAATAGGATACTGGATTGGATGCACCATTGATCTGAACAATGGGGTTCTTACACAACTAGTAGGTTCTAACACATTCACCTTCCAGTCCATCCCTTTCATTCTCTAAAGCTAAAAGAGCTAGAACTTTTGGCTGCCAGACAATCTTAGGATCTCCTGGCTATAGTACACACACTGCCATACGATAACAACAACAACAATAATTCACACTGCCTCTAGTTTCTACTTTGTTTTCCTCCTTTATGGGTGGCCTTTTTATTTAATGGTGGTCCCCTTGGTGAACACCACCTTAGTTCAAGGTGCAACCTAATTGAGGGTCACGACCCATCAGCAGAAGACAAATGCAGTAGAACATGTTGAAAAGGAAAGTCAAACGATGCACAAACTTTCCCTTCCTGCTCTTCTCTCAGAGTTCCATCTTCTCATCCACAGAGACTGGGCAGGGTAGGACTAGGAACAACAAAGCACAAAGAAAAGAAGATCTCGAAGCGTACCTCCAGAGGCAAGTTCCACGCAATGTACACGTGCGATTTGTAATCATCCATCCACACCTCAGCCACCCGCAGTGCATTCCTTTTCGTGTAGAAGCCAATGTTGTTGTTGTACGGCTTCTTCTTGCGTTCAATGTGTGCGACTCGAGAGCAGGGGAGGACTTCCATGCTACCGCCGCAGAGCCACACCTGGAGAAAGACAGTGAAAGCAGAGAATGGAAAAGTACTGATCTGGGTCTGAATGCCATAGAATCCACCTTTCAAAGCATCCATTTTCTCCAGGGGAACCAATCTCTGTAGACTGGGGATGAGCTGTGATTCCAGAAGATCCCCAGTTCCCACCTGGAGCCTGGCCTCCCTAGGTCTGAGGATCATGCCCTTCACCTTTGAACCGATGCCTCAGAATGGTCCCATGACCCAATGCTTCCAAAACACCTGCTTTCCCCTCACTATGATCACCTGTTGGGACCGAGGATATCTACCTAACGTCAGTGACCCAACTAGAGCCGTAGCAAGTTCCCTCCTAGATCTGCAGAGCGAAGCGGGGGGGGGGGGGGGGGCTGAATCAAAAGATATTAAGGTTCACAAGGTTAAATAACAACAAGCCCTACTTGGTCCCCCAAAGCTGCTCATTCTATCAGTAAAAGAGGGAGGGAGGGTGCTGAGTTTGAAGAAAGGCTTCAGATGGGGGTACAGCAACTTCAATAGCCTCCGCCTATCATGCAACATGCAGGGATGCTCCTTTAGCATGGGTCATCCAACAACGGCTGCCACCCACAGGGTGGGGTAGGGTTGCCGAGTCCCCCCTGGCCACTGCTGGAGGATGGGGGAAGGCAGGGTTTTCATATCCAGGCTGGGAAGCTCCTGGAGATTTGGGGGATACTGTCTGGGGAGGACAGGGACCCCAGTGGGGCACAATGCCGTACAGTCCACCCTCCAAAGTACCCATTTCCTCCAGGGGAACTGATCTCTTTAGTCTGGAGATGAGCAGTAATTCCAGGGGATCCCCAGGTCCCTCCTGGTGGCTGGCATCCCTAGGGTAGAGCAAGAGCATCATTGGGTCTCATACGAATTGTGTTTTGCTCAGAGAAGTGGCCCAATTGGGGGAGGACCAAGATTTTGCTGGAAGTCCACCCTAAGAGGATTCCCCTCTGCATTGGCTTTTCCCTCCGTTGTTTTAGCAAACCTGCGTTGGAACAGAAATTCCTCCTTGCATTGCGTGCTGCTTTCACTTCCTTTGACCATCAGATTTTATGGTACCCTCTACACTGCATGCCGCTTTCGCTTTCTTTGATCCTCAGGCTTTATGGTACCTTCTGCATAGATTTATGGCCGTTCAGGGGTGACTTTGCAGTCAGTACGGCATTGCCTTGAGGTATCTGAATGTGGTTCTGAGCGGCACCTTTGGTAAAACAACAGAGGGAAAAGCCAACACAGAATCGCCCAGTGCTGAGAAAATGTGGAGTGAATGCCAGATGCAGAATCACCCCTACTAACCCCCATGAATTACTAGAAAATAAGAGTGTTGTCTCTTCTCACCCAGTACAACAGAACAGCACAGCTGTAAGAATACAGTAAACCCAAGGGTCATTTCCTGCAGGAGCACACAGGAGCGGAGCTCCGGCAGTAAAAAGCCTAGGGGGCGGGCACATGCAACGTCCCACCCCCTGCTCCCAGCAGTCAGAGCAACAAGCAGCCAGGTAAGTTGCAGAGCGCCCCCCCGGCCCAAAGCAGTCCAGTGGCACCTTTAATACCAAGTTTTATTCAGGCACAAGCTTTCCCTCCTCTGCGAGGACAGATCTGCACGTTCCCCCAGTAACTAGCGATCCAAAACAGTCCAGTGGAGCCTGAGCGGTGGGTGTTGCCTTCTGACACACTTCCAGTGATGTCAGGGGGTGTGGCATATGCAAATAAGTTATGCTAATGAGTTGTGCAAATGAGCTCCTGCACCTCTTTTTCTTCGAAATGACCCCTGAGTAAACCAATAGAGGAATACATGCTTTGTTGTCTTTGGCAGTGGGAAGGGGGGAGGGAGGGAAACCTCCGTGGAAGCGGATGGAATCTTCCGTGCCCAACCCAAAGGACTATTATCAAACGCTCTGCTTCGCATCAGCTTATTACACCACCAGTGTTCTTTTTAAAATAAAATTAAAGTTGTATTTTTGTTAAAAAGCCCTGCTTTTAAACTTTTGAGTTGTCAAAATATTTCAAGTGTGTAGTTCAAGTTTTCACTTTGCCGTGCCAATTACGCCAGATGTCTCCTCCAGCGAGCGAGAGATCTCACGGTCGTATTCACTTCACTCCTTTATGCATTATGCAAAAACACCTTTCTCCTAATCACCCATTAATAGAGAAGGAAACGAAGAGGAGGGATTTCAAGCGGACGCTCGCAGAATACCTGAAATGCCACCAAATACCTGGGGTATGACAGCCATTGTTGAAGCACGTGAATACATAGCAAAAGAGACCCAAGGGGAACCCCTTCCCCTCGCCTTCTGTACAGTCACTGGTATGGACTGAAAGCCAACTAGATGTGACAGGGGAATCCATGTGTTTGCCTCAATCATACATATAAGGAGGGAAGCTATTCAGTTTTCCTAGCTGGCTGGTTCGATTAGAACATCTCCATTTCAATTTGGCTTCTCCGCTGGGCTCATCAAACTCATGTTTCTTTATTTTCACAGTATTTTCCGTCTTCTTGTGCCCAACACATTCAGTTAAATCCTGTGTACTGTTGGCTGAAGGCCCTAGCAGACTGTGCTAGTGAGGATAGATCTTTCCCACCTTTCCCCTGTCCCCCTGGGAGAAGAAAAAGAAGAAGATGATGAAGAAGAGATTGGATTTATACCCCACCCTTCACTACCCAAAGGAGTCTCAGACTTACAAACTCCTTTTCCCTTCTCCTCCCCACAACAGACACCCTGCGAGGTAGGTGGGGCTGAGAGAGCTCTGACAGAAACAGCTCTTTTTCAAGAACAGCCCTGTGACGACCCCTTAACTGGGGAGGTCTGGTTTTACTTTAAAAGTGTTCCTTTTTTTTATTTTACTGGGTATTCCAGCTGCCACCAGGAAATTTAAGGCTTTCCAAACCTCTATAATATAATATTTCTGTCACTGGGTAGGTAAGTCGAGGGTTTAGGCATTCACGAGGGTCTATGTGTTTCCTGGGAAGAATTTCTTTCAGAACTGGTATCTTAAATAAAAGTAGATTTATTGATATTTCACAAATTTTTCTCTCCCACTGTCAGGGATCTGGGCATGTAACTTTTCCTTCAGACCATATACGGTTACTGTTTCTTTATACTTCAACTTTTCATAACACACAAGACTCTCTCTCCTTCAGACTTCAGAATGCTCTTAACTCATCAACTGTCTTATTCAACTCTAAGACATAGAACTTAACAACCCACACAGGGAAGCTTCTCATTCTCTCTCATACATAGCTTAACTGCCCTTTCACTGACTTCATCAACTGTCATATCTCTAACTGACACTCTTGACTGACATATCTGCTCATCCACACAGAATCATTTCCAAAACCCCTCCCCCTCTCTGTCACTCACCAATCACACCACTTGCTTGTTTCCACTACTCTAGACTATCATACAGCCATGCATCCAAACTTTTAAAGACACACCCACCGAGTAAAACATGAAATCGTTACAAGCCCTGACAGAACTATTGCTTGCCCAAGGTCATCCTGCGGTGCAAATGGAGCAGTGGGAAATCAAACCTGGTTCTCCCAGATTAGAGTCCGCACACTTAACTACGACACCAAACTGACTCTCAGCCACTACACTACTGGCTCTTAACCACTACACCAAACTGGAGCACCTTTTTATAATTTTGACTCATTGGTATTTTATTTAGAAGAAGAAGAGGAGGAGGAGGAGATTGGATTTATACCCCGCCCTTCACTTCGAGTCTCAGAGTGGCTTACAAACTCCTTTCCCTCCCCCTCCCCACAACAGACACCCTGTGAGGTAGGTGGGGCTGAGAGAGCTCTTTCGAGAATGGCTCTGACAGAGCTATGGCTTGCTCAAGGTCATCCAGCAGGTGCAAGTGGAGGAGTGGGGAATCAAACCCCAGATTAGAGTCCACACACTTAACCACTACACCAAACTGGCTCTCTTAGCTATTTATACCCCACTTCTCTCCCCAGCAGAGCTCTGAAGCAGCTTAACAACAGCATTATCTCCTCCACTATTTTATCCTCGCAACAATGACAACAACCCTGTGAGGTAGACTGAAAGAGACTGACCCATGATCACCCAGTGAGCCTTAGTGGTAGAGTGGGAATTCACACCTGGGTCTCCCGGATCCTAGTCTAACATGCAAACTATTATGACACAGAAAAGCAATGCCAGGCATTGGGGAACCTACACTGGCAAAAGCCATGTGATATGGGTGGCTGCAGTGAGCAGGAAGAAGTGGGCGGGACCATCCATGGTACCTCAATGCATCTGCACCACCCAGCTAGCGAGTCGACTCGCTTGCTGGCTGGCTGGCACCGGGGCTCCTCTTAATTGATAGGGGGCACAGCCCCTAAAGCCCCACAGCTGGCTACAGCCCTGCCAAGGCGTTGGGCAGATAAAGGTCTTTCCTGACAGCTTCTACCTATTAGAATAGTCATTTTGACCAACAGAGGGAGCTGCAACAAAGAGTATATCTAGACAGTAAAGTAAAGGTAAAGGTTCCCTTGCTTGAAAGCCAGTCGAATCCGACTCTAGGGTTGCGGAGCTCATCTCCGTTTCAAAGCCAAAGAGCCGGCGCTGTCTGAAAACATTTCCGTGGTCATGTGGCTGGCATGACTAAACACCAAGGCGCATGGAACGCTGTTACCTTCCCACCGAAGTGGTACCTATTTATCTACTTGCAATTTCTTGCTTTCGAACTGCTAGGTTGGCAGGAGCTGGAACTAGAGACGGGAGCTCACTCCGTCATGTGGCACCTGGGTCTCGAACTGCTGAACTACCGACCTTCCACAGCCTGCAGTTCAGCATCTTAACCACAGAAACTGCTCTTTTTCAAGAACAGCTGTGCCAGAGCTTGTGACTGACCCAAGGTCACATCAGCAGGTGCAAGTGGAGGAGTGGGAAATCAAACCCGGTTCTCCCAGATTAGAGTCCGCACACTTAACCACTACACCAAACAAAGTGAGGCCTCTGTTATCTGAATGATCCATGAAA